CCTAACCCCCCACCTTTGTTGAGGGCTTACTGGTTTTGCTTGTTTATTGTTTTTTTTTGTTTTTTTTTTGGTCACGTGGTCATGGTTGTTTTTGGTTTAAGCTATATATTCTATTCCATTTTTTACCTTTCTGGCCAGTTTTACCCTGATGATCCGTTTAGGTGAAACCTCGGTAGCTTTATCTGGCTCTTTAGGTTTATATATATATATATATATATATATATATATATATATATATATATATATATATATATATATTAGGTTGGTGCAAAAATAATGAGGTAATGATTTCGTTTTTGACGTTAAAAAATACGTCCAAAAACGACATTATTACGTCATTATTTTGCTCCAATTAATATATATATATATATATATATATATATATAATTGAAATGCTCCTTTTCGTACGTATATAAGAGTGATCAATTTTAAAGTCTTTATATATATATATATATATATATATATATATATATGTTATTGAAATGTCCCTTTGACTTCCATTAGTAACCAGTCCAGAAAGACATTTTAACTCCACCCAATAAACTCTGCTAGCTACTCAAACTGCAGTAGCACTGATCTAATTTTTGCTCCTCAAAGAATCTATACGCATAAACAACAATCATCAAGACTCATTGGGGATCAATTACGGAGTTTTCCTTTCCCTAGACCGGTTGCCATCTAAGGCTATAGAACCAAATATGTTAAGGAGTTGACTGCATTCAGGATCATCGAATCAGTGCAAACAATCATTTCCTTAGCTCCGTAGCATGTGATTCGCCGGTTATTGAATACGGTTTTGAATTCAGAATTTTCCTTCTCCTAGACCGGTTGCCACCCAAGGCTATAGAACCCAGTCTGTCCTCCTGTTTACCCACAGCTAGGGAAGAGTTTGGTTCATACCTTTCCGAAGTGATAAGCATAAACCTAAATATATTTTTTTTGTATTGTACGAATACGTTTTTCGCCCATTAAAATGAATAAATGGGATTTATTTCTATTAAATCAAGTTTTTTTGTTTTCTATGCATATTTAGTTATTATGCATCTGTACACAGTTAATTATATGAAAAGTATGTTTATTCATTAGTTGGAAATACAATAACTTAAAAAAAATGGTACCATATTTCTTATTCAGCGAGAAATAGAACAGGTTAAAATCTTTTAATATCATCCCAAATGAGCAATTTTTAGAGGAAAAAGAACATTTAGGCCTTTAAAAATGGTACCAACATTCATACTCTGGCTTCCATCTTTAAATTACAGAACCATCCAAAGGTCGGCGAATAAGTTTACAAAAAAGATAGAGCAGGAAAAGTGGATCAAGAGGTCAAAACAGCAAGAGGGTTCATCATTTCAACTTATAGATAAATACATTCTTATTTTTCAAAGTAGAGTCTAATAGTGTTATAAAAACCTCGGAGAATTCCAGTAAGATATTTTTAATCATTTCTAAGATACAACGGTTCAAACCATAATCTGACAATTGGACATTTTTAGTGTTACACTTGGTATGAATCCCGCAAGGCTAAAAATATAGGAAAAAGAAGTTTAAAAAATACATCTGCAGTCTTTAAGAATATTTCTTTAGAGTAAATTTTCTATGATTTTCAGAAGTTATTCTGAGATGGAGATATGTTTTAGTATGCAGTTTTATGCAGAAATAAAAATGACTCAGATTTCTATATTTTTCTATTATTTTTTTCAGGCTCAGATTTCTATATTTTTTTTATTTTATATTAATTTTTCAAAGTACTTTTGAAATCTGTTACGTTCGTTTTCTAGGGCTGTTCTGTGTATATTTAGGCAAATGTTTTTTTGTTTAACTCCGACGTTCTTATGTTTGATGAGATCAACTTCTGTGAGCGAACCTCGGAATTTTGTTGTGTTAGTGCCCTTGGATCCTGCAAGATGATATATATTAAATAAAGTTTTAATATATAATATAATGAAATGGACACAGTCCGACAATTATTTTAAGACATTTTTATGTTTAACATTCTTTTTATAGATACAGATATTTAAGTAAATACTCTGTTTATAATAAACAGTATTAAACAACATTTACCGGCCTGAATGTCCGAGAAATTTTCACAGAAAATATTCGTCCTTTGACAGGATTCGAACCTGTATCCTATACGAAACCGTCATTTCGCTTGACGTGCCTTAACCGATTTGGCAACAGACGAGCGTTCGATTAGTAAGGTTTATTTTACTACTTTTAAACTTTAATTTTCCATGAATCTATCACGTACATTGATATCTGCTCAAAGCGTATCCAAATGTAAACAAATGACGTCACACATTATGAAATGGTCAAAGTTCGACAATTATTTTAAGACATTTTTATGTTCATACATTCTTTTTATAGATACAAATATTTAAGTAAATGCTATGTTTATAATAAACAGTATTAAACAACATTTACCGGCCTGAATTTTCTATGAAAATTTCTCGGACATTCAGGCCGGTAATTGTTGTTTAATACTGTTTATTATAAACAGAGAATTTACTTAAATATTTGTATCTATAAAAAGAATATATGAACATAAAAATATCTTAAAATATAATATAATATATATTAATAATAATAATATATTTTAAACAAAGTGTATTTAGGCTTTCAGGCATATTTGGTTAAATAATATCGACAAATTGTGTCTATCAATTTTTTTTTATTTTTTTTAAATTCCCGAAAAATTGTTATCGGTAAAATTGGTTCCATAAAACATGGGAATGAAGGAATTAAGCCAAAACTGTTGCTGAAATATGCACAGAACAATCCTTGGAAACAAATGTAACAACATTCGAAAGTACTTGGAGAAAATAATTTAAAATAAAAGTTAATGTGAATTTTTGGCAAATTTACCGATAACACAAAACAACATATTCGGAAATTTGAAATATTTATTATATGTATGTGTGTTTGTATATATGCGTGTATGTGTAGGATGTATTAAGTGTAGGATGTATCATGGGTAGGGTGTATTATGTGTAGTATATACTACGTGTAGGATGTATTATGTGTAGTATATACTATGTGTAGGATGTAGTATTCGAAACAAAAGTGAAGATGATGAGACAAATTGCAAAAGCTATAAACGACGCATTCCACCGAGAGCCGGTCTGCTTCCTTCGGCTTCCTAAGGTGAGAACGAAAGACAAAACTGTATGTAAGGAAAAATACGGATAATAGGCGACCATAAATCAAATTACCTTATCATATCCAATGACCAGACACCAGAAAGTGTCTATCTCTCTGTCTGATATATATATATATATATATATATAAGACTGTTTCGCTGTATCACAGCTCATCAGTGTGACAAAACATCCGATTGCTTCAAGCCAGAATCGGAACTCAACCGATTTGGCATCAGTCTGAGAAAGAGAATCTTTTAACGTATTATATACGTGATGTATATAAGCGCCAAATCAGCAGCCAGAGCGCTCAATTCGAAATTGAAGAGCGATGCGTTATAAGCAGGAGTCGCCACGATTTTAAAAATTCCCTTTCCCTATATTGCTCAATCGGCGAACGAAAGCAAGTCATCCCCCCCCATATATATATATATATATATATATATATATATATATATAGAGAGAGAGAGAGAGAGAGAGAGAGAGACGAGACTCCTGAGAGGTTACTTTTCCGATCCCTATAATCTTAATCTCTTCAAGTCTAAGGTTAATCGTTATCTTTCCTACATGGCCGCATAAACCTATAAACTTACGCCTACATCCCGTACATTCACCGAAGGTAAGCAATGTCGAGCTTGGTCAGTTCCTAGATGGGTAACCGCTTGGGAATACCCGGTGTTTTAAGCTTGGCTGTACGGTTGATATAGCTTATGGCGGCATCACGTTGAAACTCCGGTTCCCCTATGATCAATCAAGTTAAGCAACGTGAAGCCTAGTCAGTATTTAAATGGGTGACCACTTGGGAATTCCAGGGTCTGTAAACATAGTTGGAGGTTGGTATGGCTTATAGCCACATATTGTTGAAACACCGGTTCCCATACGATAACTAAAGTTAAGCAACGTCAAGTCTGGTTAGTACCTAGATAGGTGACCACACTATAAACTTGGATGTGTGGGTGGTTTTAATGTGTAATGGCTCGGAATTGAAAATAAGAGAGTCGTGTTCCAGTTCCAGTCGGGTTCGTTATATTCACTTACGAGGAAATACTCTTGGAAACTGTATGAATCCACCTCTTCGACCTCCAGCTATGGGTTAATTAGTAAGATTGGCATAACTAAACCATTATTATTGCCAAAATGGATGAAAATTAAAAAAAAATAAAAAATTCCTACAAAATATTTAGATCCCGGCATTAAATAACCCATTGAAGTGTTGATATGCAGTTAAGCAAAAACAACCAAAGCAAGCCATAAACAAGACTTCTTGTCATCACTTAAGCTCATATGATACCCTAGAGTAATCCTCTATCTTGGACCTTGTACTGGATAAACATTGGTATATTTTTCTAATTCTAAAAAATATGAAGGTGTTGGGTGGTTATATCAGGTTTTGTGTGGATTCCCGTATTCAATGGACGCCATTTTGCTAAATGGATGATAACACACAATGTCTCGCATAACTGCATAAAATTTCAAACAAAACAATCGTACATTCTCCTTTCTAATATTAAGAGAATTTCAGAACTGGTATTGTAGATGCAAAATGCATTGTCATTTACTTGGCACTAATAACCAAGGCTTGGAAGCTGTTATGGTTCATGTTAGGACCAAGGAAGAACAACACGAACACAAGAGTAGAAATAACGAAGGTATATTGCACGAAATAATAATACAAGATGTGGAAGGTGTTAGTATGACTGTCAGTCTGGTTGGGAGTGAACTACTATCGGCTCGACTCGATTTGATATTTACTTGCCCCCCGCCCAACAAGGGAAAGATGTGGCGCAAGGCCGAGTTTTGCGTGGGTTTTCCGAACCCGTAGGCTCGGCTAAAAAATGCCCGTAGAAACTGTAAAAACAAAGTCGGGTTGGTCAACCTCCCCGAACGAGGCTCTACCCTTCAGCGGAGCCCCGTCCAGGTTCCTCTCTGCTCAGAAGCAGAAAGTTCGACCGTCAAACTAAGAACTTCGGGTCGATTCGTTATCTAGGCACCCCCACGAGGGTTGCATGTGGCACAAGGCCGAGTTTAACGTGGGTTTCCCGAGCCCGTAGGCTCGGCCAAAAAATGCCCGTAAAACCCGTATAAACGGGATCGGGTTGGTCAACCTCCCCGAACGAGACTCTGCCCTTCGGCGGAGCCTCGTCCGGGTTCCTCTCTGCTCAGAGGCAGATAGTTCGACCGTCAAGCCGAGAAGGTCGGCTCGATTCGGTATCTAGCCACCCCACCACGTGGGTTGCATGTGGCAAAAGGCAGAGTTTAACGTGGGTTTCCCGAGCCCGTAGGCTCGGCCCAAAAATGCGCGTAGAATCCCCCCCACTGAACGAGACTCTGCCCTTCGGCGGAGACTCGTCCGGGTTCCTCTCTGCTCAGAGGCAGAGAGTTCGACCTTCAAGCCGACAAGCTCAGCTCGATTCGTCCCTCTCTCTTGAGAGGCGTAGTATACATAGTGTTAGGAAGAGTTCATTCTGTAGTTATAGGTAAGGACCCATGACAGAAGATATCCACAGCTTCATACATAAATAACCCTATCAGTTTTGGTGGGTACTATGCACACACAGACACATACAAACACTCACATTCTTTTGTCAAGTAGGGTTTGTTAGTTATAGTGAAAACTGCCTTTGAAAACTGCCTTTGAAAACAGCTGGAAGGGATCAAAAAGAATAGTGATTTTAAAAGAAAAGAACAATTGCGTACAAAATAAATGCACACAAACTATGCATATTGGTTGTGTATATGAAGAAAGATTATTCCAAATTTAGATGTCAAATAAAGATAAAATAATTTTATTATTTCTATATTTTCATAACGCTTATGTATATAGGATACTGAAAGTAAAAGGCTGAAGGCCCAAAAGCCCTTCGCAGGAGCTAACCTAACGTCCACTCAAAAAGCAGCTTCTTTTTAAATTTCATACATAAATAATCCTACAGGATTGATGGGTACTATGCGAACATATTGTTGTCAAGTAGGGTTTGTTAGTTATAGTGAAAACTGCCTTTGAAAACAGCTGGAATTGATTTTTCACATCCAGCTAACAGGGTTGACATCTACTTAGTAACTTAATAAGGACACGATGAATGATTTATCTAACTTTGTTTGGTAAAGATAAAAAGTTGGTTTGTTATGGTCTGTGTGATCCATGAATAGTTCCTTAAATTCGATACTCTTTAAATTGAGAGATGTTAAATTGAGGTTGGGTCGTCATTTGAGGTTGAGGAGCTGTCATGTGTTTACAAACAAAAACCACAAGTATTGAATTGGTTGAAAGAAATAGACAAAAAATAGAATGAATTTTAGTATAGAGAATATTCAAGGATAGTTCCTGAAAGTGTAAATTTAAGAAATGTTCTTATGATAGTCCCTGTGAAAAGGAAGAAAGAGAAGTTGTTGAATTTACTTTGTTGGTGAGTGAAACAGTTTGTGAGGTGTTTTTTTTTTTGTCTAAGCCATGTGTGTGTTCTAGAGGGGGCTGAGTTTCATCCACTACTTTGTTTGTGGCATAGTATGAAAGAGAGCTAGCCTCTTGGAATTTGTGCTACACATGCACCTAGTTTTTTTTCTGCAAACCCAAAAGCTGAAAAAATGGGATTGCTGCTCGTGACAGGGTTTTCAACATATATATGAAAGACAGCTAGCCTCTTGGAATTTGTGATTCACATGAAAAAAAGGAATGATGCTTTTAAAAGAAAAGAACAATTGCGTGCAAAATAAATGCACATAAACTATGGAGATTGGTTGCGTATACGAAGAAAGATTATGCCGAATTAAGATGTCAAATAAAGATAAAATAATTTTATTTCTATATTTTCATAAGGCTTATGTATATAGGACACTGAAAGTAAAAGGCTGAAGACCCAAAAGCCCACCGTAGAGGCTACCTTTTAAGTCCGCTCGAAGGGGGGCAGCTTCTTTTTAAATTTTATACATAAATAATCCAATCAGGGTTGACGGATACTATGCAAACATATTGTTGTCAAGTATGGTTTGTTAGTTATAGTGAAAACTGCCTTTGAAAACAGCTGAATTTGATTTTCCCTTTCAGCTAACAGGGTTGAAATCTACTTAGTAACTTAATAAGGATACGATGAATCATCTTTGTTCCTGAAAAATAAAATGTCGGCTCGTTTTGGTCCGTGTGACCCATAAATAGTTCATTAAACCCGATACTCCTTACATCGAGAGATGCTAAATCGAGGCTGGCTCGTCATTTGGGATTGGGTTGAGACGCTGTTGTGTGTTGACAAACAATTAATTTGAAAAAAAAATAGACAAACGATAGAATGAATCAAATGAATTTCAGTATAGAGAACGTTCAAGGAGAGTTCCTGAAAGAGTATATTTAAGGAATGTTCTTATGAAAAAAAATGGAGGTACGGTGGAGTAATGGATAGCGGCTCGGATTGATGATTCGGAGAGCCAAGTTCGAATTCCAGTCGGATTCATTACACTCACTCACGTTCTTGGTATGAAAGGTATGAATCCTCTTCTTCTCCCCTACTCGAACTCCAATTGGCTATTATATCTACCGCCTTCAGGAGGTAAACCGCAATTGGCTATCCTCACCAACGTGCTGTCATGTAGGAACTCAAGGGCCACTTGAGACATTCAGCCTATCAGAAGTGAGATAATCAACTTCTACACCCACACAAGGCGTAAGGGCATTTTTGTGAAATGAGAAAAAAACCTTAAGGACAAGTATTAAAATTAAAATGAATAATATGATATTTTTTTAAAGTTGAGTCTTAACTTCACAAAAAATGTGCTCGTATAAGAATGTTGTCTGTGTCATCGTCTAGAAAACAAATTACACCTCAGACACCAGGTTCGCTAGCAGGGCGCGGCTTCTTCCAGTAGAGCCCTTGGGACTTAATACAAGGAAAATAGATCTTTAGTCGGATCATTACCCAAGAAAAAAAAGACAATGAGACAAAATTGTAGCAAATAGCAAATTTTATTCAATTGTAAGGGGCGGTTGTAGGCGATGTCTATACTTTTTCATGAAAAATAATAAGCATAAACTAAAAATTTTTGTCACTATTTATATTTCAAAAATTGAAACCAACCCTTAATAAAATTAATTATGAATACTGCACAAATATTTTAAAATGTTTACAGTAGATACTTTAAAATATCTACGTTTTAACTAATAGTTTGTTTTTAGACATTCAATAACTTAATTACCTCCCTTGACGTTTGTTGCGTGTTTACATGATAAAATTTTGAAATCGTTCATTACATAACCTGAGAATTTTTTCCTTCACACGTAAAAATTTAATTTTCGGATGAACACAACAATTTTGTCTTAGAAAAATGATGAACGCAACAATTTTAATCTGAGAAAAAAAAAACACTGATGATGACATCGTGCTAATGTCGAAAGTACTATGTTGGCATTTTCGACTCAGAATAAAATGAATATTCATGAACATGGTAATTTTCTTTCTTCCTTTAATAAGAATACTAAGAAATATGCCCGTAATTACAAGCCCATTAAAAATAGGAGGAGATACGTTCGCCTATCATCCTGTTAGCACCCCTCTCCGGTCGTTTGCATATGGTTAGAGGTTCATCCCTTGCTTCACGTTTAAGATTGGGTTTCCGGTCCCTTCTAAAGTCTTTTTCATTTTCTTTCATTCCCAGTAGCCCCTTGCTTCTTAGTGGCATTATCATTAGTGGCGCCTTGCTTGGGATGAATTGATTAAACACACACACACACACACACACACACACACATATATATATATATATCTGTTACAGTCACCTTCGTGCTAATACCCTTGGAAAAGGTATCAAACTCATCTCCCCACCCCAACAG